ATTAATAAAAACGGCCACAAAATGTCAGCCCTTTTCTCTCATTTGATTGTTTTTGATAATTATTTAATATTAATATTTCATTGTTTGTTAGGAATATTCTTATGATTATTAGTTTGTTGTCGATTTATTTTGTATATTATTAGCTAAATTATTATTATACACGTATACATAAGTATATTATATTATAAATTATATTTACTTTTGAACGCTTTTATTCGCATATTTCTAGTGTTGATTTCAAATATAATTACAAACATTAACACAATCATCGGTTTACGCATTGATTTGTAGTTTGAAAACCTTTTTCATTTGATTACATATTTATTTTACTCATAATTCTATGTTATATTTAAAACTCTTAATTTTGTCTCAATTTTATGCAAAACCAATGCTTAAACAGTGTTTATATATATGACTAGAAATTGGCGACAAAAGTGTCAAATGGTTTCGAATTTAATAATAATGATAATAATAAATATTTTACAAAAAATTATTTATAAAAAAATATAAAACAATAAAAATAAAGTTACGAAAAAACAAATAAAGAATTTGACAATTGAAATGATTTTTTTCGTATATTTTTTAATATAAAATATATGTATTTTCTTATAGTTTACTATTACTTGACAGAGAAAAACAAATAACAAAATGTGAACCAATAGTTAGACATAGTTTCATGAAATAGTTTATAAAATATTTTAAAACGAAAAAAAAAATACACGAAAAACAGAAAACAATTTTACACTTAATTGCGAAAAACACGGTTCGGATCGTTATGTCAAGAGATAAGGATTAAGAGAGAAAATAGAGTTTTATTTGAAAAACAATTTCAAAGAAAGTAATCAAAAGAAAGTTTCGATAAATTCAAACTCAAAGCAATGACTAGTCTTCGGTATAAATTGAATGACAATATTATCGTAAAAGTGGATGAAAAATGAGATTATAATTACTTGGGATGTATTCATTAGATAAGAGAGCAATGGGTTCTTAATTATCTATTGGTAATGAATGATGGCTTCTACGGGACTTCTCGTGGATTACTTCCGCTTGTTGTTGGCATTGCGGACCACTTCGCAGACACAACAGGAGGGGGCGAAGAAGTTTTCTGAGGATATGCTTTGACCAGAAGAGTCCAACGATAATAACTTCTTCTTAATGTACTTCTGTTTACATCGACTCACGAAACCAAATGGCAGTGAAATCTGATTAGAGCACGACTGACCCGGAGTTCTGTGCAGTCAATCATAAATCATAATCAAAATCATAATCACAACAATCATATTAAGTGCCATTCATTGCAATCATTCATTATATCATAGAAATAGTAGTGAAATATTTGTGTTCAATCGCTATATTTATAACTCATTTGACTCTATGAATGAGAAAATGATGATTTATGATGGTATGGATGTTGCGGACCAGGATGTGAGCGCTAATAGCGATATAGACTCTGACGAACAGAAATAGACCCTTCACCCGATGCTCATTACAAATACATGTCTATTATGTCCTCAAACTTGTGTTAACTTTTTGATCTAAACCCGAATTTCCACATCAAATGTATTGCACTCATCGTTGGCAACAAAATCTCTATTTCTGCAGATTCTCTATTCACTGGAAAACTTTGATATCAGATAAGAGTTTAGAGTTTTTGGTGTTTTTGTATCAAATATTGGAATTAGATTTTGAAACCGGATTCAACTTTTTTAGAGTCAAATATTGTTGAGAAATATAAGTGTTATTCGCCTCGAAATACATGCTATGACTCGCCGTTTGAATATTCAATTACTCTCTACTCTCACCCCAAACCGTATGCCACTCATCACTAGCCCCGGGATGACTAGCCCCGGGATATCTCACTATTACTTCGCTATAGAGATCACTTACTGGCAGACCTCCACTTTGATGGCCTGTTTGAGTCGGGGGTCCCTATCGGCCAAATTGATGACAAACTTCCACTGACTCCTGTCGTTGAGCGCCGCCTTTGGCTCCACTAAAATCATGCGCGACTGACACACCGGGTCCACCACTTCGGCACCCGTTTGGCGCTTATATCTGGTCTGATGGCTCTGCGATATCATCTCATTGTCGTACTGTTGTTGCTGTGGATAGTGGTTGTCGTTGCCATATCTGACCGGTGGCGGTGAGTAATGGGAGTCGTACGACGGGGACGGGTAGCCCTTCTGGTCGGGTCGGCTGTGCTTACTATATGTCGGTCGATATTGAGCTCTGTTTACGTTATTGTTATTATAATTATAACCGCTATTATAGCCGTTGTTCTGATTATAGCCATAGCCCTGAGCACTGGTATCCGGCGGTCCGTACGACGAGTAGTGGTTATTATAGTTTTGTTGTCTATTATTATAATTGTTTGGCTTATTATAAGGCGAGTCGTAGTGGACGGCCGTCTGGTAGACCACATAACCCTCGTGTTTGGGCGGCGGGTTGTCGTACTGAGGAGGGGGCGGCTGGTCGTAGAAGTGCGGCTCTTCGTCGTTGAGGCTCTCGTCCACGAATTCACTCGAAATGTTGAATCGTTTGGCTTTTGCCGCTCGGATCACATCAAACACATCATCGCTGGACACCAATAGAGACACAGAAAATACATACAAATCATATAAAAGACATAAAAAAAAGTTTTTTTTATAATAAGAAACGGATTGAATGTTTAGGACATACGACGGGTAGAAGGGCTTGACGTCGGCACATACGGTGCGTCCCGTTTCGGGACAGACCTGCGGCACCGGGAGGTACACTTTCTTTGGCTGGTGCGGGGGTTTGGGGGCCGCATAGTCGGAGTACCAGTAACTGCTTTGGGTGTATGTGCCGCGCCATAGAGGGTTCGTGGAGGCGGAGGGCACTGGCGTTACATCTGATGTGATGTCGAGTAATATCGCGATAATGACCAGTCGTCTGACTGAAGGCCACATAAATCACTGGAAATGTGTGAACAAATTGCCCGCAAATACTGATTAATAAATTAATTATAGAAAGAAATCCTTTTTCAAGAATTTATAGCATTTGTGTGGAAAACAGTGGTTAGTGTCGGAGTGAATGAATAGCACTGGGATACTAGCACTGGGATACTAGCACTGGGATGTTGTGCTGCACTGCCAGAGCTGCTAAACGGGGGAATGGGGTCAATGATTAGGTTAACTAAAATCATTATTGTGGCGAATGCCTCATCTTATATACCTGTCCTTCAGGGAGGATATGTGAGCGCAACGTCGAGCGCAACCACTCCATGTCTCTAACCATTCTATGCTCCCTCTCCTCAGCGCTCCTCCTAATTAAAGCTCAACTCCGGCACCACTTCTGCTAATTATTCTCACTCTGAGCTATCAATACAACAATCACTACATTGTCTCCAGAGTGTGGGCCCACACGCACTCCCTGTGCTCACTGCCAATCCCTGTCCACTGTGTCCATAGATTACAGACCACTTAGTGTCTCATTTGTAGCCCATCTATAAACTAATCGTCGCACCTGTATCTCACATATACCCTGATTCTCATACACGAGAAATACATGTTTACTACACGTTCCACATGTAATACATTAGAAGAGTGTTTGAATGTATGAATGTATGGAAATATGCATAAGTTATTAGACAAACACCTGACTACCAGCCCTTGGCCACCATCTCCACAACCAATCCCTACTCACCGATGCTTTTAGTTTCAATTTGTGATAACTCTTTGGGAGAGAGAGGGAGAGAGAGAGAGAGAGAGAGAGAGAGAGCTAACACTGAATAAGTCATTAATTAGAATCGAAAGCAATGAATATTTCGCAAAAAAAACTTTAGAAACTTTTCTGTGATATGATAACTAACTTATTATAACTATTTTTGGTTTTTCCAAAAGAGTTGTCGAAATAACTCCAGTTTTTGATCCATAATGACAATGGTATGGCAAACACACACCAAAATGTTGAGCAAAACCTCCTCAAGAAATGCACATTCATTTCAAATATGATTTAATAGAGTTGTTGAACAATGAATGGCATATCAATGACGAATCGACGCGTTTCTCACGACTCCTCCTTATCCTTGGCTTCAGGTTTGCGTTTAAGACATATATTGACAACAAAAGCAAATATAATATATTTTTTGTAGCGTTTTGTTCAGGAATTAAGTTTTTTAATTCATTTTTACTGCAAAAAACTAATTAAGTCCACAACACAAAGAGGCTATGGATGTGAGGCATAGGTATGGTATCGGAGGTGTAGTTATAAATAGAGTGAGAGTGAGAGAGAAAAAGGCATTAAATTCATTGCAAAGACGTCTTAATAGATAATACACTTATGATTGCAAGTTAGATATCGTTAGCAAATATAATGAGTAAATTTCAACCAAAAAATCTCATATTTTTGGGTTTCTAAGCAATTATACGATTACACAATCAAACCCTGTTATAGTTAAATAGACTATAATTTAATGGATTTCAAGTGACTTTTCACAACTAATAACATTGAATGACCGCATTTGGTCTGCTATTATGGTTAGACATCGCGTAAAATATTTTAAATAATATTTTCATTGAAATGTCTACTTATATAATACATAACTATATGTATAGTACTAGAAGGTTAAGAATACACTCGTTTTCAATACAACAATCCTTACGATTAATGTTCATAACTTACAAACAAATTATTATTATATAAACAATTCAATTAAGCAACTCTTGTATTAATTTTTTAGTTTTCACTAAATTATCTGAATATAAGCCGTTTGTGTGCAAAACGTTTGTGCAATTATGCGCTTCATTTATATGCATTTCCTCTCATTTAAGCAATTCTTTGAGAAATTAATTGTTTGGGAAATTCAGACAATTTTTAGGTACAGGTGTTGTGTAGTAATTGACAGATATTTGAATCCAACGATTCTTATCTTAATTTCTATTGTCTCTTAGAAATGCCTTTTTGTCCAACGATTCATACCTTTCTCTTTAGCGCTCTTTCAACAATTATTTAATAGTTTTCTGAATCATAGAAAAAATCGGATTTTATTTAAATTATATTTAAAAGAAGGGTTTTAAATGTATTTAGTTATTGTTTTTCTGAATTATAATAAATAAGTCGTTTATACATTCTTTAAATTATTGTTCTCTCTCTCTCTCTCTCTCTCTCTCTCTCTCCTACTTTCAAACTCAATGTTAGCCCAAAAATCGTCGGAATTTGAATGAATAGGAAACCATTGAATCACTCGACTATTAAATAAATATTTAACGTTTATATTAATGTTTAGCTTATATTTTATGGTCACAAATATCTGCATATATTTCGTGTATATTTTTAACCAAAGAGCAATAATTTAGTTATTTATTCAAAAAATACATTTTATATAAATTTAGCCAAAATTTATGATGAATCCAATAATACATTTGAAAACTTGCAAACATGCAATGTATGGACAAGTATTAAAAATACATTTATTATGCTTATTATGAATTGGATGCACAAATGTATGGACACAATAAGCTGCCGATCCATCAAAGAATATAACATATGATTAAAACTATAAATTTTCTTTTGTGTCCATAACTTGATGTCTATTTTTACGTTAAAATACATTCATTTCGATGTAATTTGTATTCAATTTATGTAATAATAATAGACATTAAGGCAGACATATAATAGCCTTAATTTATAAATGCTATGCTTTCGATATAAAATACCGTAATTACAGTTATTGTATAAATTATATAATTTCAATAACACTGAAAAACTAGTATATATTTTTTGAATTCATTATACAATTCAATGGTAAATGTGTGCTGAGATTACTAACAATGCAGTAATATCTTTATAATACATAATTATATTAGTTGTAAAAGGCTTTAAGTAAAAAATATTTGACTTTTTTATTGATATAGTTTGCAAATTCTTGCGCAAAACTAAAACACTTAAAATTAATTCATTTATATACTAATACTATAATTATGTTACTCGTAAAGTGATCAAAAATGTATAATTTATTGTTTAGGAAAAATGAAATGAGTTTAATATTATTTCTCAATGTTTAAAAAATTGTTTTAATATACATTCAATGCAATCGCTATATTAGGAAAACAACAAATAATTGACACAAAACTTAATACTTTAATCCCAATCATTAAGAAAGTGTTAATAATGTTATAAATTATTATTATATTTACTTTTACAAATGAGTTGTGATAACAATCGGATAATTATTGTGATTATTTGTTGTTTGTTTTAATCACATTTTAATATACTTGTTACACATTTGTCGCATTAATAACAAACTAATAATTTGTGATTAAAACAAATAAGAAATTTATTTTTTCGTTGAAATTATCAGATTGTTATCAAAACTCATTTGTAAAATACAAAAACTTTATTAAATTATTTATTAACACTTTTTTCCTAATGATTGGAACATTGGATTACATGTAATACTGTATAATGTTATCATTAAATCTTTGCTTATTTATTAACCTTCACTTCAATCATGTGTTTGAAAGTAGGAGAGAGAGAGAGAGAGAGAGAGAGAGAGAGAACAATAATTTAAAGAATGTATAAACGACTTATTTATTATAATTCAGAAAAACAATAACTAAATACATTTAAAACCCTTCTTTTGAATATAATTTAAATAAAATCCGATTTTTTCTATGATTCAGAAAACTATTAAATAATTGTTGAAAGAGCGCTAAAGAGAAAGGTATGAATCGTTGGACAAAAAGGCATTTCTAAAAGACAATAGAAATTAAGATAAGAATCTTTGGATTCAAATATCTGTCAATTACTACACAACACCTGTACCTAAAAATTGTCTGAATTTCCCAAACAATTAATTTCTCAAAGAATTGCTTAAATGAGAGGAAATGCATATAAATGAAGCACATAATTGCACAAACGTTTTGCACACAAACGGCTTATATTCAGATAATTTAGTGAAAACTAAAAAATTAATACAAGAGTTGCTTAATTGAATTGTTTATATAATAATAATTTGTTTGTAAGTTATGA